CCAAGGTTGAGAAACACCTTTCTAATATAAAATGGTCACTACATACAATTATACCAATTGGTGGTGGGAGGCCACTTGGAGGTTTATCTGTGCCCTCAGGGGCACAGAGCGGGTGGGAGACGACATCATCGATCTCCAGTCTACAACTCAGTCCTTCCAGCAGTTCCAAGGCTCCACCCCCATTTGCACCACTCAGGTGATGCAAATGGGGAAGCCGGATTCATTGAACAACTGTGGCAAGAAAGGTCGTAAAACGGGACAAAATTCACATAACCGTTCTCGCTGAGCGGCAGGAATTTGGGCCCCAAATGTGATTGTAAGTCGAGGATTGCCTGTCTTAATTCAGCTGAGGACTAGCTGTATTTTCTCTCCTTCTCTGTTTGTTTTCAATTTCTTCCCTGTTCTCTCAGATCACCTCACGGAAACCGAGATCAAGGAAGAAACGCTCCAGCCGGGCAGCCCTGAAGTGGAGGGAGGCCACCAAACAGAAAGCTCATGTGAGGAAGGATTCGTGAAGCGCCTTCTCCAGAAAGGAAACACCGATTTAGAAAACACAGAGGGGGCAACACTGCCAAGGAGGTCGCTTTGGGAAGAGGGCCAGGCCCTTAACCAGCATCTAACCCACATAAGTAAGCAATGTCCCGACTGCGGAGAACAATTCTACCCTCAGCTGCCAATGGCAATGCATCAGTTGACCCACGGTGACGTCAGATTGATGGAGCACCAGAACGTCCATGCACAGGAGGAGACATTTTCCCGCTGTCCAGGCTGCGAAAAAAGCTCCTTGGCGCACCGAGCTATCGACACGGGGGAGGGGCCAGGCCCGCCCGTCGGGTTCGGGAGACGCTCCCGCCAGCGGATTCAGCCAAGCCAGCATCGCCCGAGGCAAGACGGCGGAGACAAAGCTTACGAATGTCCTTTATGCCGGAAGGAATTCCAGAGAAAACGCAACCTCACGGCGCACCTGAAGACCCACACGGGGGAGAGGCCGTACGGGTGTTTGCAGTGTGGGAAACGCTTCAGCGAGAAAGCCAAGCTGACCCGACACCAAAGGGTCCACACCGGGGAGAAACCCTACACCTGTCCCACTTGTCTGAAAAGTTTCAGCCAAAGAGAGACGTTGCTGAAGCACCAAAGAATCCATATGGGAGAGAAACCTTATCGGTGGGGAAGATTTTGGACCGAGAGAGATGCTGTGGTAGCATCACTGAATTCACCCAGGAGGAAACTTCAGTAGTGTTTTGTGAAGCTTGGAAACGAATACGGGTGTTCCTCAGCTTACGACGGCAATCGAGCCCTCAAATCTCCATTGCTGAGCAAGTAAGAAAAGGTATGCAGAACAACAGAGTTCGAAGGGTCCGTGGAGGTCTTCTAGTCCAGCCCC